GGCGAGCACTCTACCACTAAGTCATAATCCCAGCCCCCAACTTTATTTTACCTTGTGGTTCTTATAAAAAGCTGATAGGGAACTTTCTATTTGGTTCCCTAATTGTCCAGTTCTTCAGTGGAATAAAGCTTCATAACAGCATGGTTTGACTGTTTGGATCTCTGCTAGACCTCTACTATACATGTGACGGACATCATTATCCAAAGTACATGTATGAAGAAACAAACTGGGTGTCATCCTAACTTTATATACAGAGATATGAAAAATTGTGGTATATATGTGTAATAAGAATTGTTGTGCATTCTGCTGTCATGTAATTAAAAAAATAAATAAATAAATAAAAATTAAAAAAAAAAGAATGAGGCCTGGCCCATAATAAAGAGCTCTGCAAACCACAGCTGATTCCTTGATTTAAGAGAAATTGATAAGCACTCTCTATGTGCCAGGCCCTGCACATGGAGAGGGACTCTAAGACAAGCTTTTCTATTAAGTGGGTACTGCTTTGGTCATAGGGGGACTGGTGGTGAGGAGCAACCCCTCTTGTGTCTTGGTGCATTTTGACTGTGCTCTTTTTGATTTGTGGTGGTTCCAAACCTAGGTGGAAAACCACTGGTCTTGAAATGGAAGCTCACTGGAGGTGAGGATATCGAGCCTATTGTTAAGCATGATTACATCCCTTAACTAGGGAAGACACACTCACCCGACATGCAGCGGGATCTTGGGCACCTTCTTGGAGACCTTGAAGTGGCTTCTGTCCCCATGGATGTCAGTGAAGTATACTCCAGCCATGCTAGTCACCTGGTTCCCGGGGAAGCTGGACAGCACCTTGTCACGGCCATGCTGACTGGCCCAATACCAGGCCTGGCCCCCGATCAGCAAGCCCCCTCCCTGTTTCACAAACTGGACCAGCCTCTCGGTCAAGCCATTATTGTAGGCACTGGTGCAGTAAACACCCAGGGCCTCTCTAGGCTCTGGCTCAATCTGGGCCTCAACCCTGGAGCCCTTCAGGAGGTTTACTAGTGATGCCAGGGATGGGTGCACTCCAATGGGAGCCCCAGGGGAGGAACGGAGCCAGCCCACTGCATTGAGGAGAAAGGGAGCCAAGCCCGCATGTAACAAGTAGCCTTCATGGGACATGACCACGAGGCGGCCTTGGCCATAGGAGGAGGCAGCGATGAGAACCTGGCCCCTGTCATTCACCATCACTGGGAAGGCGGCCTCTCCAATAAGAAGGAGCTCACTGGGGATGGGGCCTTTGGGGATATCCCAGCTGGTCACTCCATTCATGAGGGTCTCGAAAGCAGCATCAGGAGTTGGTGCCATGGTTCTACCAGCTGCTGCAGAGAAAAGCAAAGTCTCAGGTTGGTCAGAACAGATGGAGGAAGGAGTGAAGCAAAGAACTAAATTCATGCACCTGGCAACTTGTACTGGTTCCCCACTGTGGGCCACGCATGTTCTCACACTAGGAGTAAATCCAGGGATAAAACAGAAAATGACCCCCAAAGAGGACAATGAATAAACAGGAAGGCAAAGAGACATATAAAGCAGCATCAAATAATCCCTGTCATGAAAGTAAAGCATGACAGTGAGATATGGAGGGACTGGAGGATATTTCAGATTGGATGGCAGGAAGGGCACTGATGAGAAGGTGGTATTAAAGCAAAAACCCACAAGGTGGCAGGGGCTGAGCATTACAGGCCTGGCCCCTGATCAGTGAGAGAAGCACCAGGGTAGCTGGAGAACCAGGGCAGGGAGGACCAGATCCAGCTCCTTCCTATGTCCCTCGGGTCAAGGCCAGGGTTAAGTTGATGTGCATTGATTGACTTAATTTTGATTTCCTTGGACAGAAAAGCCACATCACTTGCCAGAAACTGCATTGGTTCGGACAGCTTTGACTATATGAGCTGGAAATGCCTGTTGCTATATCTTATCTGCCTGGGGAGGTCCCTGTTTGGTATTCTGGAGTTTCTGGAGGTCTTTATAATTTGGTGTGCTCAACACTGAACTCATTACACTGTTCCCTTCAGAGCAGCGCCTTCTGGTAAGTTATTTGGGCTTGGTTTTCCACCTGTAAAACGAGAATCACATCCCTTGGAGGACGGTTTCTGAAGATGTGCACACATCTGGTATGCACAGTGAACACTGAGAAAACTCAATGCTCATCCTGCTTCTGCCCTCTCTAGTTTCCCCAAGCAACATGGGCAATGCAGTTGGTGCTTTGGGTGTCCCTGCTGTTTCCCTCACCCCACCTAGGGGCTCACCATGGGGACTTTCCTGTGCACTCAGATGCACAGGTTAACCCCACGTGTGGTTATGGACATTCTAGGTACCTTCACCCAGTGGAGGGAGCCATGGATACATTCCCAGAGTCTTTGAGGGGCATCTCACACCATCCCCTCAGATGGCCCCTAGAGGGACTGAGCTCCTCTGAACAGTGGCAAGAGCTCAGTCACAAGCCCTTACTGGGTTCCCTCCTTCCAGGTATCATTTTCCCCATTTCGTCACTGTGGCTTTCCGGGCTCTCTTCCCAAATAAACCACCAGCAGGCCAGTCCTTGCATCAGGTGTTGCTTTGAGGAAAGAACCTAAATCAGGTGTCAAACAACTTGAGCCCTCTGTCTCCAACCAGTTCCTTCCGCCAATCTTCTCCAATGTCAAGCCCTTTGGCTTACATTCATGTGTAAACTAAACCTGGATCTAGTCCCCAGGTTGCATTCCAATCTATAATATTCTTCCTTAAAATGTCCAATAAGAACTCTCACATGGCATCCACTGCCCACGAGGTGAAGCTTGCTGTGTTTCACCCCTGATTTTAAGGCCTCCAGGTCTGGCACTCCATTGTTTATGAGACTTTTTTTTCCCCTTGTCACTGCCTTTCAGAAATTCTCTAGTAGGTTTGGCATCCCTGAGTGTGCCCTGCATTTCCTGTGGAAATCTCTCCCTCACTCCCTTTCCCATCTACCTCCTCTTTCATAGTATTGTTTCCAGGATAGTGAGAGCATGGGGTGATCTCAGCTTAGAGTTTAGGAGTGGGAAAGGACAGCAGCGAGAGATCAAGAAACTGGAGTTCAAGATCCTGTTAACTACCTGCGAAAACAAGCAGTCTTTCATTTCTCCCTCGTCTGACAGGAAAACACAAAACCCCAGATGAGTAATCGGTCCTGGAACGCAAACCCACTTAAAATGTGCTTGCACATGCGCAAGCCCCTCCGGGCACCGCAGGTAACACACACACATTTGTCTTAAGCTCAGAGAATACTGAAATATATTTTGATACAACTGGCAAATAGCAGTAGATTAATGAAAGTATATGGAAAAACCTAGACCTAAGAGAAGAGACATTTCACCCACTGGGAATAGTGTCCGGCTCCTTCTGGCTCCTTGGGGCGCACCCTTCCCGTGTCCCCCAGCGGCTCGGCCACCCGCCTGCACTCTAGGAGACAGTTGGACTGAAATACTCACACTTCTTCGCCCAGGTCGGGGTAGGCTGCAGCAGCAGAGGCGCAGTGGGGCTTTCCAGAGGCGGGGCTGTCCTGGGCCAGGGCGGTTCCAGGGTCCATCTGTTCCGACGTGGGGCTGTCCCGGGGCAGGGCTGTCCAAAGGCGTGGCTGTTCTGGGGCGGGGCTGTGTTGGGGGCTGTCCAGAGGCGGGGCAGTCTCAGGCGGGCTATCCTGAGGCGTGATTATCCAGAGACGAGGCTATCCTGGAGGCGGGCTGTGCTGCAGGGAGGCTGTCCAGAGGCGGGGCGTCCAGAGGCGGGCCTATCCTAGAGGTGGTCTGTGATGGGGGAGAGGGGCTGTCCAGAGGCGGGGATGTCCCGGTGGTGGGCCATCCAGAGATTGAGCCCTCTGATGGTCAGCCTTTAGCAGTGCAGGCTGTCCTTTTGCGGGCTGTTCAGAGGCGGTACTGTCCAGAGGGGTATCTGTCCAGAAATGACCTATCCAGAGGCGGAGCTGTCCAGCGGCGGGGCCATCCGGTGGCTGGGCTCTCCAGAAGTTGGGCAGTCCAGAGGCGGGGCTATCTAGAGGCGGGTCTACCCATAGGTAGGGCTATCCAGATGTGGGGCTAACCAGCGGAGAGGCTGCTTCAGGGGCGGGCTGTCCAGAGGCGGGGACTTCCTAGGGGCAGGTCTACCCAGAGGCGGGTCTGTCCAGAGGCGGGACTGTCCAGAGGCGGGTCTGTCCAGAGGTAGGTCTGTCCTGGGGCGGGTCTGTCCAGAGGCGGGTCTACCCAGAGGCGAGTCTGTCCAGAGGCGGGTCTGTCCAGAGGCGGGTCTGTCCAGGGGCGGGACTGTCCATATGCAGCGCTGTTCCAGGGGCTGTGCAGAGGCGGGGTTACCCTGGGGTGGGGTCGGCCGTCCAGGAGCCAGGCTTTTCCAGAAGCGGGTTGTTAGGATGGCAGGTCTCACCTGGGGTGGGGTCGTTTTGATCCCTAGGGCGGGATCGTCACCGCACCGGAACCGAATCTCCGCCTGGCGGTTGCTCTCGCTCTGCAAGAGCGGTCGGCCTCACCTGGGACAGGGCGTAAATACGCTGTCAAATTTGTGAGAAAAGTAAACTCCGAGTCTCCAAATGACCACATTCAGGGCGAACAGTCCCTTAACAACAGAGTCCTGTCGCGCGTCCACCGCGGCCAGCGTAGAACCTGACTCCCTTTCCTGGAACCTGGGAGCGACGTCACCCTCGCCCAAGGCCCCTGGGCGAGCACTGCCCTCTGGTGGTCAGCCCCCGACAGTGCAGCCCCAGGGAGCTCCACCACCGCGAGCTACAACTGGCGTTTGGGTCTCCAAGTTTACCCAGAAACCGTGCCCAGAGATTGTGTTGCTAGGAAGGAAACATGACTGTGACGTCACCGAAACAGACACAGCTATGATTAGAGAAATAACCCTAAAGCTCTGGGGAGTCGGTGCATGAATCTCCACCCAGGAGGGGTCGGAAGTGGAGAGTTAAGAGGGAAGGGAACTGGGCGATTTGCCGCGATTCTGCTCTTGCACCGCTGTGCCTCGCGGATGCACTGTTTTTATTTTTACTATGCTTTGTTTGATTTTGTTTTTAGAGGGGGAGAGCAAACATACAGGAAGGAAGGTATGAATTGAGAATGATTACAGACAACAGGACTTTGGATCTCTTTTTCTCTAGTTCCCTTTCGAGGGCTCCCGTGCTGTTTATAAAGCCTTTTCTTGTTAAAAGAAGAACAGGCTGCCTCTTTACAAGACCCTGTGTCTCCTTACAGGAGCTATTGCGTGGCGCAGGCCTGTGATCCCAGCGGCTCCTGAGGCTGAGTAAGGAGGATCTCAAGTTCAAAGCCAGCTACAGCAATTTAGCGAGGCCCTAAACAACTCAGCAAGACCCCGTGTCTAAATAAAATACCAAAAAAGGGCTGGGGTGTGGTTAAGTGGTTAAGCACCCCTGTGTACCAAAAATTAATGAGAGAGAGGGAGAGAGAGAGAGAGAGG